TTCTAAGCAAAACCCATCGGCAATTATTTCTTTTGTTTCTGGATTATTTGTCACGTTCACCAGTTTTGGGAATCTGTTACTAGATGTAACCAAAACCCTCAGAGTTTTTCTCTTGGTTTCTCCCACTTTGCGCCCTTTCGGACTTTGAGTAGTTCCCCCGGGCCAGAATATGGTCTCCTGCTTGTTATGAGTAGAAGAAGAAGAATTTCTTGTACTGCTGAAAGTACCATTAGAGTTCCAAAATCCTACCCTTCTCTCACCTGATCCTATCAAGTTCACAATCTCAAACTTGTCTGACAAGTAATTCTTATCCTTGATTTGGAAGTTACCGCTCAAACCCTTGAACCTACACTCTGTGATGGCCTCAAGGAGAGTTGATGATACATTTGGCATCCTTGTAACTTCTGCTGATCTCGCCAGTGCCCAAGCTACATCATGAGCCCATACGCCGGAGATGCTTAACTGAGTTATCTCAGACACAACATCGTCCTCATTGCTTAGTGATTTTCTCCATCTTGAAGTGAAATTGTGAAGCTCTTTTGACTTTGGAATGTAAGACCTGAACCCAACCACACCTTCCATTGATTCTTTAACCAAATCGTCAACGTCATGATTGAAAGTGTTCATGCTTTTGGCGGTGAGGATCCAAGCAAACCCTTGACTCATCATCCCTACTTTCACAGCACATGGGAAGAGACGAGTTGCAACAACCTCAGACACGTGCACCACAAAGACAGTCGTCTCCATGCCCTTCAGCTTCCCTAACTGATCCATCACAGCCTCCTCGCTTGAAGAGACTGTAAAACCAACCTTGGATAGTACACGAACCCCGTTCTCATGGAAATGGTCTACCAGGACTTGCATACTCTCTCTCCAGTCATCATCATCTTCATAAACAAGAGCAACGCTGTTCCAATCAAACTCATGGATGAAAGCTGTAATGCCCCTTGCCTCAGAGGAAGAATCATGTGTCACTTGGATCAAATAACTGTATTTTTTCAGGGAGAGTGATATGGGAGAATTAAGTGATATCACAGGAACCCTAGCTTTCTCCCCAAGCTCCGCCAAAAGCTTCGTCTCAAGCAACGAGTTCCCGCCAAAAATTGCCTCCACTCCTACAGTTTGCAGCAGATCCACAGCTGTTTCGTTTGAAAAGTGTTAGATTTTGGGTTTATTATGAACTTCTAACTTAAAACCAATTGGTGATTAGTGCAGTAGCGGCCCTGAGTACAAGCAATACAAGCATGTGCTTCCGGCCCTAATTAAATTATCAAAATTTTCGGCCTTCAAATTGTCATTATCTTCAGTAGCGTAGTTAGTTTAAGGCTGGATTTGATGTGAGAAGTGTGTCAAGTCCGAGGTGTACTAGTTACATAGTTTTAATTAATAGGCCCAATTATTTTCTTTTGCTTCCGGCCCATATTTTCTTCGGGCCGGGCATTAGTGGATTGGTCCTAACCCTTTAATCCTTTATATAGTACTCCCTCCGTTTCATATTAAGTGTCGTTGTAGAGAATTTTTTACGTTACAAAATAAGTGTCGTTTTCGGTTTTCAATGCAAAATTTATTAATTTTATTATGTAATTTGTTTTTCTATTGGTTAAAATATGGTTAGGTGTATGGGTAACTGTGTTTTTATATAGGAAATATGTAAAATTAATTATTTTCTTAATTCGTGTGCGCAGCTGTAGAGTGACACTTATAATAAAACAGAGGGAGTAGTAGATTAATTCTTATATATCCGGTGTGGGATGTTTTTCATAAATAGACAAAACAAACTAGATTTGTGAGTGAATGTAGACAGAGGAGAGAAGAGAAGAAGGTGGAACGATGAATGTAATAAATGTTACCAGACGATAGAGCAAGGATAGGCTCTCCGAGAGAGTTTCTAACTGAAAGAGAGACTCTTGTTTTGTAATGACTGTTGACTGCGTAGAAATCAGAAAGCGCCAAGGAAACAGAGCTTCTCACTATCTTCCCCTCCACAGATCCCAAATTCAAAACCAACCCGGCCCGGATACTCACCCGTTCTTGCTCGGACCTGGAGTCTTCATTAACGTCGTCGTTTCGACATAAAACAAAACAGTTGGAAATGAAGAGAAACAGAACAACAAATGAAACCTGCAGAGTTTGGTTTTGAATAACACACCTCTCCATTTCAGACTGAAAAGGACAACGACTTGATCATTTTTATCAGGTCTTACTATATATAACCATTCGATTCTAGCCAACCCATAACATGTTTTGTTTGTCCCCTTTGTTGAACTATTCCACTAGAATATAAGATATAAATAAAATTATATTCGTATTGGTGAAAATTTCCATAAGTTTCAGATTGTACCTTGAGGTTGGCTACTCTTTTGTCACTCAAATCATTATTTTAGGAAATTCAACTGTATTTTCTTCTAATGATTTCGTCAAAGAAAGTAAGAAAAATGAGTATAATATAGTGTAAAAAATATCGTTGAACGGATCAATGTTAACAATAAAAATATATGTCAACGGTTGTAAACTTGTTTTTCTTTTCGTAACGACTTACGAACCATGACTTGTACGTAATCCACTTTTTATAGTATTGTATGAACTTTTTGTTGGCAAGACTATTCAAGAAGTAGTTACAAAAAAAGACTATTCAAGAAGTACATAGACAGATATGATATTATACGGCCAACGTTAAAGTTCTCTGAAAGTGGAGGAAGACATGAAGTCGTCTCATCTTAAAAAAAAAAAAAAAGTAAACGCTCTCTTAAGACTGTTACTAGATTTTGATCCGCGCTTAAAAAGCGCGGAAATTTTTTATGATTTACAATTCATATAATTGGGTTTTGTCTTAATTTAAAGAATATTTAGATATAAAATCAGTTCACCAAAATTTGTAGTGATGATTGTTTTTCATTAGTTTTAAAGTTCACTTTTTATTTTTAGATTTTGGTTTTTTGTTTTTAGTTTTTAAGTTTTTACTTTTCATTTTCAGTTTTTTGTTTGGGTTTTTAATTTTTAAACCCGCTGAGTTAGTTTGAACTGATATTACCAACAAACAAATCTCAAATAATCGAACATCTAATTTAAAACTGAAAAGATGAAAACAAATTTAAAAAAAAAATTGAAATAGTTTATTTTGTAAATAAACAAAGCAAAAAAAAATATAATATGTGTTTTCAGCTTTTTGTTTTAAATTTTAGTTTTTAGATTTGGTTTTTGGTTTTGCTTTACATTTTTTTAATTAGTAAATTATTTAAGAAAAATAAAAATATAATTTATTTAAAAATTACAATTGAAATTTATCAAAACAAAGTGATTGTTATTTAAAATAAAAAAATATATTAACATGTTTTAAAGTACATGATTTAAATAAATGATTAATAATATATAATTTTGTTTTGTTAAAAATATTAAATATCTTTTGGGTCTGAAAATAATAATTGATTTTTTGATCTTTTAAGGTGAAAAGTTTATTCAATGTTTTTTTGGAGTTTTTTCTTAATACTAAGCCCAGAAACCAAACTATATAATTTGTTCAGAAAATAAATTTAAGCCCAAGACTACATTCCATAAATAACCACTGGTTTAATTTAAGTATAATTAATAGATTTTCATATTCCATATTTTGATGATATATATTCTTTTAGAACATTTCATATTTGTAGGAGAAAATATGTATTTTCGGTATACACATAGATATCTGCCGTATTTTGAAGGTAGTTTACATTAATGTTGTCTTTTTACATTAATTGTGTTGGTTTAATTTAAGTAATACAGTTCAATCAATTATGTGGCTTATATTATTTGTAGCATTCTAGAAAAAGTCCAAATTTAAATGAAACTTGTACCAATAGATAAAAAGAATGACTCTGTTTTAATAGAAAATCAGTTCACCAAAATTTGTAGTGATGATTATTTTTCATTAGTTTTTAATTTCACTTTTTATTTTTAGATTTTGGTTTTTTGTTTTTAGTTTTTAAGTTTCTACTTTTCATTTTCAGTTTTTGGTTTGGGTTTTTAATTTTTAAACCCGCTAAGTTAGTTTGAACTAATATTACCAACAAACAAATCTCAAATAATCGAACATTTAATTTAAAACTGAAAAGATGAAAACAAATTTAAAAAAAAAAATTTGAAATAGTTTATTTTGTAAATAAACAAAGCAAAAAAAATATAATATGTGTTTTCAGCTTTTTGTTTTGGATTTTAGTTTTTAGATTTGGTTTTTGGTTTTGCTTTACATTTTTTAATTAGTAAATTATTTAAGAAAAATAATAAAAAAATTATTTAAAAATTACAATTGAAATTTATCAAAACAAAGTGATTGTTATTTAAAATAAAAAATATATTAACATGTTTTAAAGTACATGATTTAAATAAATGATTTTGTTTTGTTAAAAATATTAAATATCTTTTGGGTCTGAAAATAATAATTTATTTTTTGATCTTTTAAGGTGAAAAGTTTATTCGATGTTTTTTGGAGTTTTTTCTTAATACTAAGCCCAGAAACCAAACTATATAATTTGTTCAAAAAATAAAAGTAAGCCCAAGACTACATTCCATGAATAACCACTGGTTTAATTTAAGTATAATTAGTAGATTTTCATATTCCATATTTTGATGATATATATTCTTTTAGAACATTCCATATTTGTATGAGAAAATATGTGTTTTCGGTATACACATAGATATCTGCCGTATTGAAGGTAGTTTACATTAATGTCGTCTTTTTACATTAATTGTGTTGGTTTAATTTAAGTAATGTGGTTCAATCAACTATATGATTTGTATTATTTGTAACACTTTCTAGGTTCAAATTTAAATGACAATATAGCAATATTTGTTATTTTATTACGAATTAATACATGGATAAGATATAACTCTACAACTAATTTAATACATTTTTATGAATCTTTTTTGTTTGTCGCAAATATTTTAATGAATCTTAATAAAAAAATCTACATTAAAAAAACGGTTGTCTTATGTGCACGAAGAACGGTCTCAGTATGATGGATTATTTATTTTAATTTTTTTCCTGGGAGTAAGAAAGAAATCAAGAAAAGATTACAACAGTGAAGATAAAAATTAAATAGAAATTCTTATTTTTTTTTCTGTTTTTTGTTTTCGTTTTTGTTTTGGGTAGTATTGATCCTTAAAAATACTAAAATCATCCACACACAACAATGTAACATCAAAGTAAAAGAAGAGGAGGGGTTAAAGAGCTGCCACTAGTTAACACCATAGTTAACACCATAAGAGAGAAAGAGTTACATTCACCATCACCTTTTTTATCACTAATGAAAGTAAGCAGGAGGAGGAGCCTGGTACTGATAACAGTTCCCGTAGAAGTTCCCATGAACAGCAGCGGGACTGAAACTGTAAGTCTGAGGAGGCGGAGGAGCTTGTGGTGCCATGATTGGACCGTTAAGGAACGGTCTGTTGTCATACACATACTGCGGATACCTCTCAGGGATCACTCTACCATATCCTGTCTTGTTGTTACTGTTGTTGTTGTCAGTGACTCGGGGTTGAGGACCACGTGGTCGCTTTGTCTGAGGCTTTGTGGGTTCTGTTGCTCTCTTTTTCTCTGCTTTGGCCTTCTCCAGCTGCAGAATCCTTTTGTGAAGTGGCTCCACTGGGTACTGTTCTTCCAGGTTATGCTCTTCTACACACTTTATCACAGCTTTCAGACCTGTTAGCTCCCTCTCATTGAACTCATCCTGCATTGTACACATATAGTTATGATAATCTGATCCTGAATGCATCGGTTTCAAGATTCAAAGGGTTTAGAACTCAACCACTAGTCCTAGGCAATATGCACTAACACAACCTTTCATTTTCTCTAACAAGTAATGTATAATGTAAGTTATCAAGTAAGGGAACACTAGCCTGAACAGCAGGAGATGCATTGCCTTGGGAGGAAGATCTGGTTGCCTCAGTCAAGTAAGATTTAAGTAACTCAACAGGTGGGAACTGTTCTGTGAGTTCAAATGCAAATGCCAAGTTCACTGCATCAATCTGTTTACCACTCTTCACGAGAACTTCAATCACACCTGCAGTAAACAGAGTGGTGCACATCAAGGGTTAAGACCAATGGTGAAGCCACATAATTTGGATGTGCACTACAAATGTAAAAACATAGAAATGCCAAACTTCAGATCAAAATGGCATATGACATGCAATAGAATCAGCCAAAGTTCTCAAAGTCGGTAACCAGACGATTTTAAAAACAAAAAATCTTATTTATGTGATTCAAACCAGTTTAAACTGTTCTAAATCGGTTAAATCAATATAAACAGGTCCAAATTAATTTAGGTTAGGCTAAATATATTAAATCAATCAACCTAAAATATCTAATATGAATGTAATATATGTTTTTTTAAATCAATACTTTGTTAACTCCTAGAAAATAATCCGCTTAGTTGCTAACTGAAGCGCCATTTCTTGAACACTGGAATCAGCCATATCTAGTAAAATTAGAGAACAAACCATGCATTTTTGCTGACAATCCAAGAGAACGGCAAAGCTCAGCTGCCTGACGACGACGTGAGACCATAGGGATCAGCTTCAACAGTTCATCCTCCTCAAAGTCAGAAACAATACCAAAACTAGCCAGTAGTTGCAGAAATGCATGAGCCTCCAAAGAGTTCCCATTCCCAGCATCCATCTCAAGAGTCTCCAGCAGTGGATTCCATCCTTCTGCAATTCCTTTTGCTCTATTCCTAACATCTTCTGACAAGACAACAGCAAGGTAGTTGCTGTCTAAACCAGATAACAGTACGCTAAGACACTCCATCAACAAGACACATGTCCTGCGCATTCCCAAGAGGTTAGCGTCTTTCTTTCCATCAGAGGTTGCTGCCTCCTCCGTGGGATAAAACCCTTCCAAAGAGTCCAACACTAAAGTAGCAGGGTTTGCTGCAGCCTTTAACGCCACAGGAATCTCTTCCTTTAGTGATGCAAGGTTCTTACGGTTGTCTGATACAAACTTATGAAGCCCTGTTGAGTCCATATCCCTGCAGAGTTTCACTAACTGTGGATAAGCCTTCACCTCAACATCTTGCACAGTACCGTCCGGGTTATCATCAGTGACAGAAGTGATAGTGATGGGAGTGTTGTTGTTGTTGTACTTATCTAAAGCACTGTTGATAGCAAACACAGCTGCGTCTCTCTTCTTCTGAAGCCTCTCTAGAGATGCCTTCTCCTTGTCTTCAACAGCTGCTTTCTTTTTTTCCAATAGTTCTTGAGCTTTCCTTGTTTTGGTTTCGTATTCTTTTTCTTGATCCTCGAGCTCGTGAAACCGTCTCTTTAAGGATTTCTCGAGACCATGAAAATGTTCCTCAAGTTCGTTCCATTTGAGGTTGAGTGTTACGGCGCGTTGGCTTTCGAGTTCAGCAAAGGCCTTTTGAAGCTGCTGGATCTTGGATGATGTGGAGTCCATGAGTGAAGCAACTGACCTGGTATCCTCCATCATGAAAGAGCTACAGAAGATGAAATAGAAAGTCAAACAAATAAAAAGCACGAGTATAGTAAAAAACAAATTAAGAATCTGACACTAGAGACCAGAGAATCACAATACTGGATAACAATCACACATGTCAGAAGAAAACATAATATTCACTTTTACCATATAGAAGAATAAAACATCCACACAGAGAAGGGAATAATATAAATTAAAAACCAAAAGGTTATCAATTCAAAACAAGTCCAATCTCCAAGTTGTGAGTAGATATCCTAAATATACCAAAATGACAGAGCAATAAAGATCAGTGAAGAGCACAGATTCAAGAGTCCAGTGACATCTTAATTCCTTAAAAAAAGGGACAGCTTTTGTGAACAATAATGTACAAAATCATTAAATGGGTTTGCTTCTACTTGAAAAAGAAGCCTTAAAAAAATTCTACAGATTCAAGAGAAAAAATAATAATTCTAACGTTAGCCACAGAGAAAATCATCCTCAACTTCTGAAACAATATGAACGTCACCCCAAGCCTTGGAATAAATTTTCAGTAAAGCGAGTTGCTTTTGGGACAAAATTAGGAAACCCTAGCTACAGTGGAGACATGATCAAATAAAGACAATAATACACACTACAAGAGATGACAGCTTTACCTGGAAAAAAAAAATCAGACGAAGCAAGAGATCAAGAAGCAGAGGAAGATGGTAGATCCATCTTGAGCGATCGAGATTTTTTCGACAGAAGAGGAAAGTGAAATCGGAAAGAGGAAAGTTGAAGGGAGGCAAAAGCAAAGTGGTTTGTAGACAAAACACTTTCTTCGTTGTCTTTCTTTCTTTTGGTGGTAATAAGTGGAGGCACGTGACAGTAAAGAGTGGGTGTGTGTGGTGGTGGCTCATTCTCCACCATACGGCTCCACGAGACGGTCGTAGTGGCTCGAGTCATGAATTACAATGTCCCCTTTTTAACATTTAAACACATCACGTGAGTTTGTTATTTACTTTTTAGTTAAAAAGGCCCGAAAAGCCCATTTAGTTGTATTGGGCCAACATTGTAATTTATCCATATCCGATAATATGATGACGTTGAAAAGTCAAAAGCTAAGAGAAAAAAACAATAAAACGCGGAAAGACCGGTTGGTATAAAGTCATAGCGTTCTCATCAGATAGTCTTTGCCCCATTCTTTACGAACTCTGAATCTTCCACACAACTAACAACGATCTAGTCAACGACACAACAGACAAACACAGACGACTCCACTCTCTCTCTCTCTCTTTTATTTATTTTAATTAAACAAGTCCTTTCTTTCATTCATTCACGCTTTTTCTCCTTCTTTCATTAACACACTTTCCCCCAACAGATTCTGCTCAAACTTCTTCTTATTTCTCCTCGTTGAACACAAGTTGCACGACCAAGACTAAACCACTCCTCTCTTGTTCTCTAGTTCTTCCTTTGTAAGTTCCTCTCAAAGACTTTCTTGAACTATCTTTCACCTTTGAAGTCAACTCATTTCAAGATCGCTTCATCTTCTTATTTATTTGTTTCTATTTATAATTCTTTTGTTTCCAGGACTTTTGATGCTCATCAGAGACAACCCCTAGTTTCTAGCCACTTCTAACAATTTTTACTCTCTTTCTGTGGATCCTATGATGGTGAGTAGATTAGTATTTGCAGTTTTCCTAGGGAACTGTCTCTGCGTGCTTCTCCTGTCTAGCTTTACCGATGCAAATGAGGCCAACGTTAACTGCTTAAAGACCATATATAACCAAGTTAAGGATCCAAATGGATACTTAACGAGCTGGGTGTTTGGCAACAAGACTGCTGGTTACATCTGCAAGTTCACTGGTGTGACTTGCTGGCATGATGATGAGAACAGGGTTTTGAGTATTAAGCTCGGTGGTTNCTCCTGTCTAGCTTTACCGATGCAAATGAGGCCAACGTTAACTGCTTAAAGACCATATATAACCAAGTTAAGGATCCAAATGGATACTTAACGAGCTGGGTGTTTGGCAACAAGACTGCTGGTTACATCTGCAAGTTCACTGGTGTGACTTGCTGGCATGATGATGAGAACAGGGTTTTGAGTATTAAGCTCGGTGGTTTGGGTCTCACTGGAGAGTTCCCTGTTGGGATTAAGAATTGCACTGATCTTACAGCTCTAGATCTTTCTAGAAACAACTTCTCTGGTCCTTTACCATCCAACATAACCTATTTCATTCCACTTGTTACAACTCTTGACCTCTCTTACAATCAATTCTCTGGTCCGATCCCTCCCAGTATCTCAAACATTACCTTTTTGAACTCTCTTTTCCTTCAGAATAACCGGTTCACTGGCACCCTTCCTGCCGAGCTTGTCCTGCTTGGTCGGCTCACTAAGTTCTCTGTGGCTGGCAATAGTCTCACTGGTCCTATCCCAAAGTTCAATGTAACTATGTTGAAAATTGGGATGGGTGACGTTGCTGATAACCAAGGCTTGTGTGGTACGCCTCTGGATCCATGCAAGGGTCCTGCTAACCCTCGTGTTAAAATTGTTGTTATAGCAGCAGTTGGTGGACTGTCTGTGGCAGCACTAGTCGTTGGAGTTGTTCTGTTCTTCTACTTCCGAAGGTTGGCTGTTGTTAGAAAGAAGTTGAGGGATGATCCTGAAGAAAACAGATGGGCTAGGATCTTGAAAGGACAGAAAGGCGTTAAGGTAAAACATTTTATTACACATACTGTACTAATGTTGTTATTAGGGCTGAGTGTTCAGTTTTGGTTTGGGTATTTCGGTTTTCGGTTTTTGGCTTCAGAGATTTAGGAACCGTTAAGTTATTTACAAAATTCGGTTTGTTTTCGGTTTAGAGATTTACTTCAGTTATTCACAAAGTTGGCTTTCGGTTTATCGGTTTTAGAGATTTAGGAACCGTTAGGTTATTTACAAAATTCGGTTTGTTTTCGGTTAAGAGATTTACTTCAGTTATTCACAAAGTTGGCTTCCGGTTTATCGGTTTTAGAGATTTAGGAACCGTTAGGTTATTTACAAAATTCGGTTTGTTTTCGGTTTAGAGATTTAGTTCAGTTATTTACAAAATTTGGTTGGCTTTCGGTTTATCGGTTTTAGAGATTTAGCGAACCGTTCAGTTATTTACAAAATTTGGTTTTGTTATTTCGACTTTTTGGTTCGGTTCGAGTAGCAAAATTGGAAGCGGCTGACAACCAAAATAATTCCGGGTCTAATTCATTCCAGTTGGTTTCGGTTCCAGAGATATACGATATTAAATTATTAATAAATTCGGTTCGGTTTTTATTTTGGTTAGGTACGGTTGGGTTCTTTGGTTGCTGATAAATGTGTCTATGCCTAGTTGTTATGTTCTGAGTTTCTGATTATATGTTTTGGTGTGTGTTGTGTTTTCAGGTTTTCATGTTTAAAAAGTCAGTTTCAAAGATGAAGTTAAGTGATCTCATGAAGGCAACAGAGGAGTTCAAGAAAGATAACATCATTGGTAAAGGAAGAACAGGAACTATGTACAAAGGAGTACTTGAAGACGGGACTCCTCTTATGGTAAAGAGGTTGCAAGATTCTCAACATTCTGAAAAGGAACTTGATTCAGAGATGAAGACTTTAGGATCTGTAAAACACAGAAACTTAGTCCCTCTCTTGGGTTACTGTATTGCCAAGAAGGAGAGGCTTCTTATATATGAGTACATGCCCAATGGTTACCTTTATGATCAGTTACATCCCTCAGATGTTGATGAATCTTTCAAGCCTATGGACTGGCCTACAAGGCTGAAGATAGCTATTGGCGCTGCAAAAGGACTAGCGTGGCTTCACCATAGCTGCAACCCGAGGATCATCCACCGCAACATAAGCTCAAAATGCATATTGTTGAATGCAGATTTTGAGCCGAAGATCTCAGACTTCGGTCTAGCGAGGCTGATGAATCCCATTGATACCCATTTAAGCACATTTGTAAATGGGGAGTTTGGTGATTTCGGTTATGTTGCTCCAGAGTACTCAAGAACCATGGTGGCAACTCCTAAAGGAGATGTATACAGCTTTGGTGTTGTGCTTTTAGAGCTGGTAACGGGGCAAAGAGCAACTAGTGTGACAAGAGGATGTGAAGAAGAAGATAGGGAAGAAAGCTTCAAGGGTAACCTTGTGGAATGGATTACAAAGCTATCAAGTGAGTCAAAACTTCAGGAAGCTATTGACAGGTGTTTAGTTGGGAATGGTGTGGATGATGAGATATTCAAAGTGCTTAAAGTGGCATGTAACTGTGTTTTACCGGAAGTAGCAAAGCAGAGGCCTACCATGTTTGAAGTGTATCAGTTTCTGAGAGCTATTGGAGAGAGCTATAACTTCACCACTGAAGATGATATCTTAGTTCAATCTGAATCAGGAGAAGGTGATTTCATTGAAGAAATGATAGTTCGTTGATCAAAGTGGAAGAGTAAGACATGACTATTTCTTTAGTCCTAGCAGTGCCAAGATATACATATATATTATATATATAAGTATCGTTTTTTCTTTTATTTTTGGTTTCTCCTCTTTGAAGGTGTGGTTGTAATATAAAAGATTGTTAGATGCACTGTCTGTTATTGCTACTACACATAGGTATGAGTGTTTTCAGTACAGCCACTGGTTGGTCTTGTGGCTGCATTTTTACTGTTTTTCACCTTTTTTGGGGGAAAGCTAGAAAGGCTACTAATTAAATTTCGTTTGAACAAGGGGTTCCATACACTCCATAAGACAAAACTTGGTTCTGTTTAAACACTAATATAAAGATAAAAATCCATTGATAAGATGATGATTATGATGTTGAAGAGATTATGGGTGAGCCACCTACTCATCGTCCTCATCATAGTCCCCAGCAGATGAGTTCAAAGCCTTCACTCTCTGGATCAGACTATCAAAATCTTCATGGTCTTTAGTTTGGTATGTTTTTCTATTTCGATAGCTATGTTTTCTTGTTTTGGTAAAGCTGAGGTTTAGGGTTTATACTTTTATGTTGAATTAATTCTTGTATAATGCTTATAATTATAAAGAGAATAAATCAAATTACGTGTATAAGAAATTGTACCAGCAACATCCACAAATCAATCAAGAAAAAGAATTGGAGTAACATTTTAGATAGGTAGGATTCCTCAGTGAATAGATGAAGTATTGAAATCAAGTGAAAGAATTGGAGTAAATACTGCATCTTTCTGTCACACGAAACACAGATGAATGGTTTGCTTTTAGGATTTTTTGCTATATTTTTAATTTTTTGATTATTAGAAAAAAAACACTAAAACCCAACTGTAACATGTGATGTAAATCAACTTATGCCGCTCATGTCAAATAATGTAAGAAATTATTGTTGGTCTCAAACTCGTTACTATAATCGGCCCCAGAAGTTCATTGTTCCTTAACTTATGCTTCTCGTTTTACGCTGATCTGACCTTAGAGATTTATTCATGTGACCAAAATAGTAAACATTGATTCTTTAGTCATTACATTTGGTCGTGATCAAAAATAATAAAAAAACATTACATTTGGTCATCATGTTCACAAACTGTGCTCTCTTCTCTATCAATTTCAATCTTGCAGACCCATTTCACATAGAAAAGTCTTCTACTAGTATGTAGTTTACATAACATACCATTCATTCCAAACCGAAACACATGTTTATCTGATTAATATTTTAAATAGCGAACATAAATAAGTTTGTGTAATTAATCTAATATATAGTGTCTTTGTGTTATAAACGTTCCTGAAATTAACAGAATGTTTGAATGTATGTAAACATTATGATTTAGGGGCTGAGCAATTTAACGAACAGATAACCATAAACATATCCAAAACATTGGGCATACATTACTTATACTAAACAAGAGAAATTTTCATTAGGCCATTTCATCAAACACCTTCAGAACTATCTTAACAACGCTACACACCTAACCAAACCCACAATTTTTAAGACAACGAGACAAAAGCTAAAAGTAGATAAAAAAAAAAAAAAAAAAAAGCAAGATAACATAAAGAGAGTCTTTCAAGCTCTTTCACCACGAATCCTCCTCGCGAGCTGAATATCCTTCGGCATAATCGTAACCCTCTTCGCGTGAATCGCGCAAAGATTCGTGTCTTCAAACAACCCCACGAGATAAGCCTCCGCAGCTTCTTGTAACGCAGCCACGGCGCTGCTTTGGAACCTCAGATCGGTCTTGAAATCCTGAGCGATCTCACGGACCAGACGCTGGAAAGGGAGCTTGCGGATCAGAAGCTCCGTGCTCTTCTGGTACTTCCTGATCTCACGAAGGGCGACTGTTCCGGGACGGAATCTGTGTGGCTTCTTGACTCCTCCCGTGGCTGGAGCGGATTTTCTGGCGGCTTTGGTCGCGAGTTGCTTTCTTGGTGCTTTGCCTCCGGTGGATTTTCTAGCGGTTTGCTTGGTACGTGCCATTTTAGTTTCTTCTTCTGGAGAATGTGTATGTTGAGAGTTTGTTGTTATGAGTTGGGGAAGGAGATGAGTTGGTTTTATAATGAGTTTTCTTGAAATTTAGTCCGTTGGATTTGGCAAGTATTATCGACGGCTGAGATGTTTTAGTGTTTGATCCGCGTGTTCTGTTTTCAGCGAATTAAAAGAGGCCACGTTATGTTAAGGATGTTTACTCATCCGCGTGATGTTACTGTCCACCAAGTAAAATCATCTTTTCGGGACACACGCGAGTTTTGGCGCGTAACTTCCTAAAGAGTTTTGAAGGTTTTCGCGCCACTCGGAAAATTTTGGCCATGAAATTATTTCGTAAGGATGACAGAATGGGCTCATCAGCTCATGTGTTAAGAGTTTTTTTTTTTTTTTTTTTTGTTACGAGTTTAGTAATGAATAAGACTTATTTAACTATAAGAGTTCGTAATTAAACTATGAATCAGTGAATATGGAATTGTTTCAGGCAAAACCCATGATGTGTTTAGATTTGTAGAACAAGGGGGAAAAAATAAACAAGTCAACATATAATGATTTTTTTGTATGCGGACTATGTAACTGATAAGATATTGAATCAGATCCGAGTAGAAGAAAATTTGAGCCTCTCACGATAACGAAGACAATTCTATGAGACTATGAATTAAACCATAAAAATTCGACCACTGATATTCGCTTTGTACTTATTGAACAAGATCTTTTTTAAGCAAGATCTTATAAAGCCATGTTTACGAAATCAAAATTTGGAAATCAGAACAGTGTATGTGCATAACAACAAAACAGAAACAATATTGATCTCTTTCGAGTTATCCATAGATTTGCAAGTTGATAACATCTGTAAAGGATTTAAATCTTTGAAATTTGTATGAAATCATTAGTTTCAAGCTTGGTTAAACCAAACGAAAAAAATTCTAGATACCTTAAATAAACAAAGCGGTTGTGAAAGAGACAAAAACATTTAGATTCTGAATAGTTACAGCGGATTAAGCGATAAGGGACAAGCAGATTAGATACTGCAGAACAATTTAGCTACGGTCTATATATAAAAATGCATATTGTAGAATAACTGCAGTTCGTATAAGATAAACTATTCAAAACAAAGTATGGAATGATAACATATATGATGAATAGCATTGTTGTGGGATATATATATAATATATTTATATTAAACAAACTTAAAAATAGTGATATTAATACATTTTAAAAAATAATTTTTATTCTAATATATAAACGAAATATGAAATTTAATATATACTGAGATTTATACCTATTTTAAAAAAAACAAATTGCGCTAAATGTCTGTAAACAAATTATATTGAGATATCTAAATAGTTCATCTAATTTATAAAATATATAAATTAAAATAACAATGATATTGGTATCATTTAAACAACAATTTTGTTTAATTTAGAAAATATTTATATATCTGAAAATCTTTTAAAGTCATATTCACATATGATTTACTTTTTTATAAATTAAGTAAGTATGTGAAAGTGATATAAAAGCCTAGTAAATAAACAGACATAAAGCTATTTAGTTAAGTAATAATTAAAATGATATAAATATATATCATAATGCGTTATAATTGTACTGCTATACTGTAAATGCTGAATGACAGCATTCATTCTATACTGTACTATGTTATAATTGTTCTGCTGTAAACGATCAAAGCCTTATTAGTGTTACTAATAACTTTTTCCTATACTGGAAGCCTGTTATGTCTTAAGGCTGGCCTGATTTAAATTGAAATTTAGTTAATTATTACATAGCATTTTACACGCAAAAGTTTGTTATAATTTCGTTAGTGTGTATTTATTTTATTTTTTTGATAAAATAAATCTTATTTTTTAAAATTGACTCCATGATTTAAAATGTTATATATATATATATATAACATATATACATATTCGTTTTTCTTTAATTCAATTGTTTAGAATAGTAGAATGATTGATAAAAATCATCCTTAAAGTGGATATATATATATATATATATATATATATATATCAAGTAAAAATAAACTTTTAAAAATTAATTATCCTCTAATATTGTACCTCAAGTTTATTTAATTATAACAATACAAAACTAAAATTTAAGTTATTAATTTGGTATATTATTAATATAATATTCGTAAAGTAAAATATACAGATTAAATTCTAAATTTTGCCAAACTATTATTTCTGATTTAAATTTCCTTGATTTATACTTTCAATTTCTTTTATTTCTACTTTAAATTTCCTTCGTTTTAAGTTTTAAGAGAATTATATTTTCTTGGTAAGTGTTACAAGTGTTAGAACTATTTGGAATATGAATCAGTTTGTGACTCATATTAAAGCACAAAATAGCATATCATAACCAGCTTTAAAATGTACAGATAAAAATTAACTCATATATCGAATCATATTAAATTTTATTTTTTATAAACAAATACAGTAGGAATGATCCATTTTGTACAAAATTATCAAATAATGGTCGTTTCTGTTTTTTTGTAGACAAAAAAAAAGTTATTAGTTTCCTTCATTGTTTTTGTTTGTTTACAACAAAAATACTGTTAACGTTATAATTATAAACATAGAATGATTTGTCAAACAATAAAATGAATAGATAAATAAACAAATTGAAGAAACTGTAGTTTGTGATTCTGTGAAAGCTCGTGACTAAATGCTAGTTGCTTATTATGTATGTCCACTGATTAAATGCTATTTGCTTATGTCCACGTACGCGTTCAACATTTTCACGATCTGGAACTGGAAGTCTGTAAACAAAAGCAAAGAAATATTGATATGCTAGTATAAATTTGATTGGGGATGAAAAATACAAATAAAAAGATTAACTAGAAAATAAAATTTTGTCATTGGTCGGTAAAAATTAACAACTAATTTACAACGAAATGATGTAAAAATCTTTTACATTGCTATAATAACAAATTTACGAGAAAACATGTTAGGTGTAGCCCACAACAAACATGTTTTTTTTTTTTTCACAACAAACATGTTTTTACCAACCATTTCACGTTTACTCATACATTCATTATTAAACAATTGTAAGGATGATCATCGTAAAATACTCGTTATTTTGTAACTGAGGTATAACGAAACTTCGTTTTCGTTGTAGAATCCTTGTAAAGTTCTATGTTTTTTACGAGGAGATGATATCCTCATAAATTTATATGTACTTTACGATGAATTTGTTTTTCTCTGTAATATACTTGTTAACTCGTCGTAAATTTCGATAACGATATTTTCGTAAATATATTCGCTATACTCATGTTTTTCTGTTTTTGTAATGCTTGGATATCAATTTTAGTTGTATGTAAGATATTAGGAAAATTTTATATAAAAAATAAGAATACAAACTTTATTTGAGTGTAGACTGTAGAACATTATGAAGATAAAAAAAAAAAAAGTCAGCTGAAACATATATCATATGTTTACATTCGTTTTGTTTGAACTTCACAAAGCCATTTTTACCTTCTTTGCCAATATTAACATGTCTCAAATATAGACTCCTTCTTTATCGGTGTTCCATCAACCAATCTCCCAAGAATCTTCCTTCTCCCTCTCTCCTTTGCTCTCTTTCTTGCCAAACTCAAAAAGTTTCTATCTATTCCCAACTGAATCGGTTGTCAATTGAATAATCGTACAGAAAATCCATTAACAAAATCACCATTTTGGCGAAACTCTTATTACAGTTTCTCAAGAATTTTGCAATTGCACGTTGAACAAAATCTTTCTTTTTTTGCATGTTGAACAAAATCTTTCTTTTTTTGCATGTTGAACAAAATCTTTCTTATATATATATATATATATATATATTTTTAGGTGTTGATTTTAATACAGATGTTATCTTTTCGAATCCCATCTATTAGAAGCCAACCTACGGCCTTTGCAGCTAAAGTAACAGACACCACAAAGACCGTGGCACAACTCAAGTCAGCTGCAACGCCCACGCCTCATAGCACAGTCACGTGCGGATACCAAGCTCACGTGGCGGGCTTCTTTCGAAACATAACTGTTTTATGGTCCAAGAATCTCATGAATCATTCCCTTACCGTCATGGTCACGAGTTTAGACAATGACATGAACTATTGCTGCAAGATCGACCTCGTGAAGCCCTGGCAGTTCTGGAGCAAAAGAGGGTCAAAGTCATTCGACGTAGAAGGAAACTTTGTGGAGGTCTTTTGGGATCTAAGGGCGGCGAAGCTGTCTGGTAACGGTAGCCCCGAGCCGGTGTCAGATTATTACGTGGCAATAGTGTCCAATGAAGAGGTTGTTTTGTTAATTGGAGATTTAAAGCACAAAGCTTATAAGCGGACCAAGTCAAGACCCGCGCTGGTCGAGGGGTTTATATATTTCAAGAAAGAGAGTGTTTTTGGAAAGAAAACGTTTTCGACTCGAGCAAGATTCGACGAGCAGAGAAAGGAGCATGAAGTGGTGGTGGAGAGTTCACACGGTGGAGACGATCCAGAGATGTGGATAAGCGTGGATGGGATCGTGGTCATGCACGTGAAGAATTTGCAATGGAAATTTAGGGGGAACCAGATGGTGTTGGTTGATAAAACTCATGTGATGGTGTACTACGATGTGCATGATTGGTTGTTTGGAAGTTCAGAGTCGACAGCGAGTTCAGGGTTGTTTTTGTTTAAGCCTGTGGTGGTTGGAGGGTTGGTGGATGAGTATTTTAGCGATACGGAGGAAGGAGACAGTGGAGGAGGGAGTCCTTTGAGTCGTTACAACTCGGCATCAAGTGGTTATGGGACATTGCATGACTTTTGTTTGTTTCTTTATGCTTGGAAAGTTGAGTGAGAGATATTAATACAATAGCAAATTTGATAGTGCTTTTTAATTTAAATATCTTTTGTTAAGTTATTTGGTAACCAAGATAGATTTGGAGTTGAGACCAGACTAGTTTTCAAGATTGGTACGTAGTATATTTGTCTCATTTAAGAGGTCTGGAATAGCTAAGAGGAATCACAACAATGTTGAAAGATTGTGAAACTTGGTCTCTAACTATTAACTACCAAAACATTTTTTTAACCAATGGGCCTCATGTCATTGTTTAGGTTAAAATAGAAAGGAAAAGGTTATAAAAAATAATTTATGATTTTCAGCTTATGGATTTGAGAGAGCTGCTAATTTGCATTAATGATGTCCGTTGAACCAAAGTCAATTTTAGCACAGCCGAAAAAACATTTGTTTTGCACTTCAATTTTAACAAATTACTAGATCTTGACCCGCACAACCGTGCGGGTTATCTTTTTACTTATACTTTATAAAACAATTATCAATAAATAATAATATATTTACTTATAAAATTTTGCAAAATATTAAAATAATAGATGTTGAAGTATCATATTTAAGACAACATGAAAATATAAATTATCATTAACAAATATTTATCTATAGTATATCTAAATAAATATCAAAATATATTGTATGCAAATTGCAGAAACTAAAATTCTATATCATAGAAGATTATATTTTAATTATTTCAGATTATAATTTATGTAGCAAACTCAAAATATATTAGTAAGTAATAACAATCAATAAGAATATAAATTAAAAAATATATAAAAATTGCTATATATTAATAATGACGAATAAGAAACTTAAACAACGAAATTATAGAGGTATATAATATATAACATTAAATGTAAATCATATATTAAATTTTTTTATAATACTATCAAAGTGTTATATTTATAAAATGAAAAAAATTGTGTGGGTCAAAATCTAGTATATAGTATTTTTTTATTTACGATTTAGGAATATATAGTGCAATCTACATAAATTTTAATATCTTAAACAAAAAAAAATTGTATTTCAAATAAAAGATATGGGTAATATTATGGAAAGACAATTTAAAAAGATGCCAAAAAGATTTTGTTGGATTTATTTCATTTGTGTTTCAAATAGAAAGATAAAGATATTTAAAGATATCTAAACTATTAAAGGGGAAGTACAAATAGTATATACCCCTTAGTTTTCCACAAAAATTACAGTTTTATGCCACTGAATTTAAAACACAGTAGTTTTGATTAATGTCTAATTATTATTTTGTTGGACTGTTGTAAGTTTGTTTTTGCCAGCCCATAAAGAAGAATTTCGATGGTCTGTCAAATAATATAATTATAGACAAATGCATAATTTATACGTATGACATGTATACTTATAGATATTAGTATTCAAATAAAATAAAAATCAAGTTTCAAAACATGATAAAGTTTTAAAATCTATTTTCTTTATTTTTAGATTTCATATAAAAATATGTAATAGATAATTTAAATCATTTTTGTAATAATTTGGAGTTACAGCATACAATTCAATATACAATAACATTAAAATTAATAAGTGTTTAAATAGAATGTAAATTTTAAGTTAAAAAAGTCAAATTGACTTACATATGGTTACCTATCTGTTCAAACAGTAGCTTCGACTTTTAACACTCATACAATAAGAGAAATATATAACAGCTCACAAATATATATATATAACACAATACAAAAACACGAAAGTAATTTATGGTATGAATTATAAACTAAAATCTAACAGATGAACACATTATATGAAATTGTTATATAAAATTATTAAGTTTTTGTGTGTTTTAAATGTTTATATAATTAAAAAATAAAATAAAAATTCAGAATACAATAATATTAAAATTAATAAGTGTTTAAATATAATATAAAATTGAATTTAAATTCAATTAAAAAATCAGATTGACGTACATATTGGATACCCATCTGTTCAAACGGTAGCTTCGACTTTTAAAACTCATACAATAAGATAAATATATAATAACTCACAAATATATATATATATATATATAACAGAATACAGAAACATGAAAGTAATTTATGCTATGAAAAAATCTAACAAATGAACCCATTATATGAAACTATTATATAAAATCATTAAGTTTTTGGTGTTTTAAATGTTTATGTAATTATAAAAAAACACCCGTGCGGGCGCGCGGGTCAAGATCTAGTTATCATTAAATTATATAACATTTGATAATCTTCATAATCTTTCTAAGAAATAGTTCATTTTTCTAAAAATCACACATGAATCAAGGTTGTGACTTCTGTTTTAATATATAAGATATATAAGTGGCATGATCCTTAAATTATCATTTTTTAATTATGTTTGATTTAAAGATGTTAATGATCTCCTAAATTTTAGATTCGTTCATAAGATATCAACACAAATATCTTTCCAGTGTACGCCAATCAAAACAAATATAATCATTTGTGTCATTCGTTGAAAATTCAACATATCTGATATTTTCGTCAGATAACTTACTGCAACTACTAATCAGAGACACCCCTATATAGATAGCAACTAAGGCATGGCATAGAAGTTAGGACCATCAAAGATATGAAAGTCTTTTAAAGATACACTCTTCCTTTCTAGTAAAATGGCATTGTATTTGGTTGAATCAATAGCATGGTGGCGCATTTTATAAAATACACATGCATTGTTTATTGGTAGAAGGGGAAAGAGCAGACAATTATTTAAAAGTAGATACCGACACTGCGTGTCAGTATTACAGATTACACAAAAATATATTTTAATGTAGACGTATCTTAACATAAATATCTCCACTTTTAAGGCAAAAGATATTTGTTCATGTGAGTGTGTGAAAAAAAGACAGAACAGATATTTAGATATTTTGGTTGTGGAGAGAAGGTCAAAGCAAAAAACTAGTGTTGTAATAAAGCTTAAAGTATCCAAAAGGAGCACTAAAAGGTTGACGTGTACTCTCTAGACCGCGAGTATGTTTCTTACACGAAAGCGCGTGAGATAACACACCTAAAATATCTGTGGGGCCCTCGAAAAATGAGACGTTTTGCACTTTTTCCCCTAATTATTTTTTAATATGTTCTATCTTATGTCACATGCCTACATGTCCCATTGAGGACAACCCAACCCATTGTCTAATCTATCTATCCATCTCTCTTTGCCCTTTTTCACACGCAGAACACAAAATATCTTCTCTTCTCAATCTTCTTTCGTGTTGAAAACATTTTTGTTTCTGCTTCAGAAGATACTCAGACGATCTCTGGTACGTGAGTTCTTGAAACCCTTGAAACCCTTGTCTTTTTATTTGAGTTTGAGTTATTTTTTGTCTGATCAAGAAATGGATCTATGTTGGTTTTCTCTATTGTTCTCTTTTATGTATGTTTTTAACTCGGCTGAGAGAATAATTTGAAGCTTGAGCTAATTTCTCTGTGTTTCTTTTTGGTTGCTCTGTTCTGTTTTAATTACAAGCCTTCTTTGTTCTGTTTTGCTCTGTTTTGTTTCGTTTGCTTTTTAATAGACTTTATTTAAAGAAATTTTCAAAAGATTGGATCTATTCTATTTCTGGACTTGCTTTTGATACCAAGTTTCAATCTTTACTCTATATTATGTATCTAAGTCAAGAGGACTAACTGAAACTGTTTAATTCTTGATCAGTGGAAGGAGTCTACTTTCTGTAGCGGCGAAGGTGGAGTTAGTTTGAAAAAAAATGGGTTATATGTGTGACTTCTGTAATGAACAAAGATCAATGGTGTATTGCCGCTCTGACGCAGCGTGCTTATGTCTCTCCTGTGACCGTAACGTTCATTCAGCTAACGCTTTATCTAAACGTCATTCACGGACTTTGATATGTGAGCGGTGCAATGCTCAGCCAGCTTCTGTTCGGTGTAGCGATGAGAGGGTTTCTCTCTGTCAAAACTGTGACTGGTCAGGACATAGTGATGGTGCTACTTCACAACATAAAAGACAAACCATCAACTGCTATTCTGGTTGTCCTTCTAGTGAGGAGCTTGCCTCTATATGGTCTTTCTGTATGGATTTGGATTTCTCTAAAGGTGGACAGTCTGCTTGTGAGCAAGGAATGGGTTTGATGACTATAGATGAAGGCACAGGAGAGGACAAAACAGGCGTACAAAATGTTAATGTGGAGCAGCCTGGAACCAGTTCTGCATTGTCTAAGGTAATGACCAGGAGTTTCTTCATAGCAATGTTCATGCACTTTGTAGTGATCTAGGGGTTAAGCTTTAAAGAATTGTTGATTTGTTTCATATATATTTAACACTTATATAAGATATTTTAGTTTAATTATAAAATTGTTTTGATGAATTATCAAAATTAAATATACAAAAGCAGAAGAAATTAAATAAAATTGTGGGTTTATTATAACATTATTACTAAATTTAAGAGACTTAGACTAATTTAAGTTTGATTTAAACCGATTTAAAATGGTTTAAACCGATTCGAGTTATATAAATCAGATTTTAAGAAAACGGTTTGGCTATGACCGATTTGCCGATTTGCCGCCTAGACCGATTTTTAGAACATTGTTTCTTAGTGAGGTGGAATCTTGAAGCAAACTGATATCTAAATGTTTCTTGTTGATCTTTTTGGTTGCAGGAGCTTGGAGTAACAGAAGATGATTTCTGTGGCAATCTAATTATGGATGAAGTGGACTTGGCTTTTGAGAAGTACGACGAGCTCTTTGGTACAGCTTACAACTCATCAAAAGATCTCTTCGAACATGGTGGAATTGGAAGTCTTTTCGAGAAACATGAAGGCTCAAACTCAATGCAGCAGCCAGCAGGAAGCAATGCTGCTTCTGAAGATTCGTTCATGACTTGTAGAACCGAGCCAATCATTTGCTTCTCATCACAGCCAGCTCATTCGAATATATCTTTCTCTGTCGTCATGGGTGAGAGTAGTGCTGGTGAGTTCCAAGATTGTGGAGCGTCATCTATGCAGAAGCTTTCAAGAGAGATAACTTCACAGGAGACTAGTGCTTCCTCACATGCAACAACACGTAACAATGCTGTTATGCGTTATAAGGAAAAGAAGAAGGCTCGCAAGTAAGTGTAAAACCATTTGATTCATCTGTCAGTGAAGGATAATCATTTGCTAATGTTGTCATGTTTTACATGAATAGGTTTGACAAGAGAGTGAGGTATGTCTCTAGGAAAGAAAGAGCTGATGTGAGAAGGCGTGTGAAGGGACGCTTTGTCAAGTCAGGTGAAGCTTATGATTACGACCCAATGAGCCCTGCAAGAAGTTACTGAGGTTGGCACAAACACAAAACAATGAAGAAAGTGAAACTCTTCAAGAGACTTGAGGAGCAAGATCCTTAAAATTTTGTTCTGTTGTAGCCAAGGCAAGAGCAGTAATGTATACTTCTTATTTATATGTAAATCAGCATATGATTTTCTAATGTGTGTGCACTATTTATAAGTCATGTAGGAGACTAGAGTACCAGAGAGTCCCATGTTCTATATAGATTGCTGTGTTTTTATCTTTCTCCAGAGCTAACCATAATAATCAAAACTGTTATCTTGTTATCATCATCTTGCTTTCAAGTTCCTTTTGCACTATCAGCAAAACGTAATTCATTCTTGTTAGTTTTAGGAATTATTCTGAAATAGATTGCTATTTGTTAAGAACTATGTAAAATAAAGGTTGATCGAATAAATATATAATAGTTTAATTTGAAATAAAATAAAGTGTTTTTGCTTTAATATAGAGATCACATAACCGTCGTGTTGCTCATCATCGTAGTTAACGTCGCTGATTCACCAAAGACAACACTCTGTTTTCATATAACTATCTCTCTTTCTCTCTGTTCCAGTTATATTGTAGATTTGATTGTCGTTATATTGCAGGTTTTGATTCCTATTGGTAGATCTTTTTTTTCTTTTCTGTGTAAGGTTATATAATTGACTTGTATCAGACTTTTCAAGACCACAAGCCCAAAACATAAAAATGGTTAAAAAAAAAAATTGAAAAAAATATGCACATGATGGGAATTGATCTCAGCCTCTCGCATAGGTACAATGGACAATAAACCACTACACCATTGACCTTTTTAAGAATAATTTGGCCGGTTTTTATAGTTAATAAATTTGTGGCCGCAAACATGTGCTTCATTTGCTTCTATCAAAGGCCGCCTCTGACTTGTATTTGCTTTTAACTTCTCCAGCTGCTCTGAAGAGAGCAAATGTTGACCAAATCTCTCGTTCAAGAAGTTGTATTTGGCAATGTTCTTAGTGCCAATTTGGGTCAAGCTCCTGCTCGTCAAGCTGCTTTAGGTGCAGGAATCTCTAACTCTGTAACTTGTACTACAATCAACAAGGTTTGTGCTTCAGGCATGAAAGGTGAGAATTTTGGGGTCTGGATTTACTGTATTTTAATCATTTTAAGATGATGGAAAAAATAGTTTTTTTTTGTGTGGTTTCAGCGGTGATACTTGCTGCTCAGAGTATCCAGTTAGGTATCAATGATGTAGTTGTGGCGGGTGGCATGGACAGCATGTCTAATACACCAAAGTATCTGGCAGAAGCAAGATAAAATGATGTGGTTATGCAGTTGTTTGACTATATGCATATATCCATTTCATTGTTTTTGATTTTTTTTTATAACAAATTAATGCAGGAAAGGATCTAGATTTGGTCATGATTCACTAGTAGATGGAATGTTGAAGGATGGACTATGGGATGTTTATAACGACTGTGGGATGGGAAGTTGTGCAGAGTTATGCGCTAAGAAATTTGAGATAACAAGAGAGCAGCAGGTATGTTGTTCCTTTTTTTCTTGGACTAACAATCTTGGACCATGTTGCGTATTTATTGTTCTTGATAATTTTTCATAACATCCGTATTTTCCAAAATAATAAAATAAATAAAAATATCTGAAATCTCCATTTATTAAATCGTATAAATTATCTCCAAATTCCATAAATCTAAATAACATAAAAAATTTCAAAAATATCAATAAAAACATAAGTCTGACAATAAATAAATAAAACTCCCAAAAGCACCCGTCGAAATGATCACTCCAGATCGTCAGTATCATCTGAAATGGAGGAAGAAAGAGGGGTGAGCAACAGGAAAGTCACTCAGTGAGGTATGGGATGCTAAATCACAAACCACTAACTCAGTACATAGCACTACGACTATGTAGGCCTAGCTCTAGCATGAGACAATCACGGTGTCTATTACACCTCACAGAACAAACATATGCCTAGAGCACCATACAACAACAATCAATGCGATGATAGTACATAGCTATTCTCTGCACCTCGCACTCTTCTCATATGGATATACATATATAACTCTACAGGCGTCGTAAGTACGGTAGTCCACTCCGTACCCCCGCAATCTCTACGGCGCGCTAGTACAAACGTCTCTGTACCCTGCAATCTCCACACAAGGCGGCACTAGCACAGACGTCTATGTGCCCCCGCAATCTCCTCAAACAAGGCGTCGCTAGTACAGACGTCTCTGCACCCCCGCAATCTCTCACACATGGACTCGTATATATATACATATATATAGCAATTCTCAACATCAATCATGTCACACAACCGTTGAATAATCTATTATATATGTCCGGTTTAGCAATCAATAACAATAAATAAACAAACAAGACTCTCAAATAAACTCGATTCAAAGAGACGGAACATGTTTCGAAACTAAACTTTTCATAATAGTAGTACTAAACTAGTTCAGGATTTAAGCATAATAGCCCTCACCCTAGAAAGATCGAAGAACAGGAAATGGATCGGAAAATAATAAAATGACTTGATCACCAAGCAGAATAGCTTTCGCCATAGATCTTGACTTCTCAGCATGTTGGAAAAGAATTAATAAAAAAACAACACAAGACATGATTAAAACATAAATAAATCTAGGGTTATTACACAAGATAACTTGTTTCACAAGCAATTTGGAAAAGGGAGCACTAAACCTCACGAAGTGGATTTGCGGTAGATGACGACGGGGCTACCATCTCCGGTATATCACGATATGACTTTCAAGTGACATGGCGCGTCTCTGGTGGTGAGTGACTCATGGCAGTTGAAAGCGGTGGCCGATGTTGATTGGTGTCACCGCTGCGTCTCATATCTTCTTCTCCGATACACATACACACGTGAAGAAGAGAAGTGACACATGTGATGATCAAGAGAGATGGGAAAGAGATGAAGCTCGTGGTGGTGAATGGCAAAGCTGGAGACTCTTTCACCTTTTCACTTTGACGGCTAGGTTAGGTTGAGGAAGGAGATGCATACGTAATATGTATGCACGTTTTGATTAAACCAAAAGGAATAAAAATGGTTTGGTCCAATTAATTAGAAAGAAAAATTAAACCAACCGGTTAAGAAAATTGGGTCGTTACATTTTTGTTTAACAATTTTTTTTTTTTAAATAAAAGTTATTTATATTAATCAACCCGAAAACTCGGGAATCCTAATGTCGATTACAAGTTTAAGTCGAAGAAATCAAAGCTAATTCAAACTTCGCATATCTAGCTTTACTCAACCACCACACAGGCGCGTTCCGCTAAATTGCTCCATAATTCTTAGCATATCATTTCCCGTTCTCTACTGTTGATGTGAATCACTGAAACGTGGCGTTCACCTCGTTGCCTTGGTTACCGGTAACTTCCGTGACATCACCGAAGTAGCAGGGTCATGACGATCTCTTCAAACTTGCAATCTACATTGGCATTAACGTTCTAGGCACCGAAGGACAGAAAAGTAGAGAGATAGCAAACCTGTAGAAGTGCCATCAAAGCCTCACACCTCCAAACCCTACAAGCACCAAGCCGAACAAAGGCGGGATGAGATGAGGCTGTAACTAGAGTCAGGATCTTTTGTTCCCGCAAAAAACGAAGGGGTTAATCTGCCACGACGACCAAGCAGCCACCACAGCACAGGGATGACTAATCCCCAACCAAGTCTCCTCGTCGAAGCAAGCTTACAAAATGACGCCTTGACCCGAAGACAGAGAACCTGATCCGGTCGTTTATGTGCTTTGTGACAACACTCCGCAGGAGACACGAAGAGAAGTCAACAAAGCGGAACCAAAGGAGCTCTAAACTATATACGAGGTACTGGAAGAGCAGCCCGAAACTAGAACGCAAGGAGGAACAACCAAAGGACAAAGAAATCAGAGCCATAGACGACACGAGTTCAACATGTCCCTGAAGCTACAGACGTGGAATCACCAGGACACAATGACCATACAGTCACTGGACGCTAGCGCACTAACCGATAGAGCAAAACTCATCGCCTCCCTTGAGCAAGAACATGACCCTCCGCCGGCGCAAGACACAAAACACCGACCTGAAAGTGTTTAACAAATATTGCTCTTGATAATTAACTTTGATACTTGTATCTCTGAAACTTTGAAATAGGCCATGTTTATTGAGGAGTTCTTAGATGGGGTTTCTAATTTTGGTTAAGATACACTTCTTATTTTTTAACTAAGAAAAACTAAGAATCGGCTCTTAAAATATAAGAACAAAATGTGTGAAAAATATAAAAAATGAAAAATGTCAAATCATGAATTAAAAATTCCACCCTAAGAACTTCTCAATAAACATGTCATCGGTTGCATTTTTTATGGAAACTCAAAATGTTAACTAGTTGGTTTTCGTATGTAGGATGACTACGCCGTTCAGAGTTTTGAGCGTGGTATTGCTGCCCAGGAAGCTGGTGCTTTCACATGGGAAAATCATCCCGGTTAGTTTATTTTTTTTTCATGTTTTCTCTGTTGATGACATTTCATGGTGGACACAATAATGAAAATTTTTTCATATAGGTTGAAGTTTCTGGAGGAAGGGGTAGGCCATCAACCACTGTTGACAAGGACGAAGGTCTTGGAAAGGTGATTTATGTCCCTTTCTGGTTGTAGATTATGCATAGATGTCTTGATATATGTTCCTTAGTGAACCTGATTGTCATATTTGTATCTTTTAATGTATGAGGCCATTACAAGTCACAAAAAGAAAATGATGATTAGATAAATTCAAGAATAGAGAACTAAATAAGTGTGCTTTGCTGAATGTATAATGTCTTAATATCTCAGTTTGATGCTCGCAAAATTGAGGAAGCTCCGTCCAAGTTTCAAGGATAATGGAGGCACTGTTACAGCTGCAAATGCGTCTAGCATAAGGTCTTTTTTTCGAGAACTCATGTAAACTTTACAGGGATCTTTGTTAGTCTTGAAACTTCTCGTTTTCTTAAGTACAGTTTTTGTCTCCCTTTGACAGTGATAGTGCAGCTGCTCTTGTTCTAGTTAGTGGAGAGAAGGCGCTTCAGCTAGGACTTCAAGTCATCGCAAAAGTTAAAGGTTATGGTGATACAGCACTTATATAATATTTGCTTTCACTTCATAAATACAACATTTTTAGATGTATGGTTACATTACTAAGTGAGACTTAAACCCTGCAGGAACCAGAGTTTTTTCACTACTGCTCCTGCTCTGGCAATACCAAAAGCTATTGCACATGCTGGTTTGGAATCTTCTCAAGTTGATTACTATGAGATCAATGAAGCATTTGCAGTAAGCACAAACATCTTTTTCCCCCTAAGGAATAGACGGAAAAATTGTGAATCCTAACTTTGGCTGAACTGGACTTTACTCGCAGGTTGTAGCACTCGCAAATCAGAAGCTACTTGGGATTTCACCGGTCAGTATCTTGCATCATGAATAGAGTATCTTAAATCATCATCTTCTCAATTGGTTTCCATAATCTTGGTTTCATAACAGGAGAAAGTGAATGTAAATGGAGGAGCTCTGTCTTTAGGACATCCTCTAGGCTGCAGCGAGGCTCGTATTATAATCACATTGCTTGGGATACTAAAGAAGAGAAACGGTAATATGGTGTGGGAGGAGTGTGTAACGGAGGCGGAGGTGCTTCTGCTCTTGTTCTTGAACTTGTTTGATGCATTATGAATCCAGGTAACTCACAACCTTAGTAGTTTTCATCAAACATAGATCCAAGTAACTCACATCCTCCCATGTGTGTTTACTTTTTTCAGGTTTGTGAACTAGACGTATATTATGTACCCAAAGTCCATAATCCTCTCAAGTTCAAAACCATAACATGTATTCTAATGTAGACTTTTCCTTAATATATTATTAGTTATTATCCGTAATATGTTTACATCAACATGAAATATGGAAGTTTAACGTTGTTACTTCAAGCAGAAACATAACATTGTTTGATAGCACATTTGTCATTATTAATGTTGGGAACAATAATCTCTTAGTGCTGGAGGGAAGAATTCTGGAGTGAAGTCAAACCTCTCAGAAATACAATCTGCACTGAGACCTAAGAAGGCATGACAACAAGAATGACCAACGGTCCCGATTTCTCCGCTTACTAACGATTGGATAATTTCTGGGATGCAGTCAGGAATAACAAACATGGATGACATACAATCTGTTGGTTCCTGTCCAGGTATAGGCTGCGAAGGCAACGTTTGAGCTGTACCAAACATGGCCATGCATGCAACTGGAAGAAGGAAGAATAACTTGTTGATCATCATACACATTTTTAATAAGAGAAATTGTACGAAGTTATTGAGTTTTTTTTTTTAATCTTCGGTATGGATTTAATAGTAGTTAGTGAATGGATGCATATATAGGACGTGTAACAAATGTGTATTTTTTTATTACATTGCATTTGTGTGAACGGTTTCTTTGTCAATTACCGTTAGGCACTCTCTTGGGATGGCCTCAAATAAAGGTTGTATACTACTCTTTTTATATGAAAGGAGATGAATTTCCGAACTTGTTGTCGAGTTCCGGTTTCAGCTTCCTCGTCTATGAGAGCTGGTCTTCAACGTCACTATATGTGACTATTTCTGTGCTGTCCGAGTTTGTCGTGAAAGCTACCCGACGCATTCAAGCTCCATTTCGAATCCGCTGTCATCTTCATATGAAGAATTATCCTTTGTTTACATTGTTGTAGCTTATCTTTTCAATCAAAGAGGATGGTTAATTCCCTCTAATGTTGTAATCAGTCAGTTTGAGAATTAATGAAAGTAAGATGTGTTTCAAAAAAAAAAAAAATACTACTCTTTTTAAGTTCACAAAACTGTTGCAAATTATAATAATGTAAATTATGTATACTAATTACACTAATTTATAAGAGAGAAAGTCAAGAAAAATATACCTGAAAATCCTTAGCATTAGTGAGTTTTCACATACCTACACAAAAAATCACACGAGTTTTGTCTAAAGATTTCATAACCCGTGGGTAGCAATATTGTCCAATGACTCTGCATAAGCTCTGCGTATTCAGTATTCATACTCTTTATCTACACTCTTATAAAGTCGTGGATAGTAGAGTATTGTATAGACTCTTCATAAGCTGTAAGTAGTAAAGCATGAATCCGTTTTCAATTCAAAGTCTATGTCTGAAGACTTCATAAGCCAGGGGGAGTAGTAAACTAATGAGTCTTTTTCATTTCATAGTCTTCTGCGGTAAGACTTTCTAAAGCCGTTGGTGCATACGTCCATCCAACAGGTAGAAACATAGTCTTTTGTCTTGAGACTATTTTCTAAGCCGTGGGTAGTGCCTGAAAGACTTTATATTAGCCTTTTCTTCGTTTCATCCATCCAACAATTCATCCCTTTTTTTTAATAAGATGTTGATCGTTTTATCCTCCCATTCTTTGTCTAAAACATTTATTGCAAGCTGTGTATATTAACGTAGCGAATACATTTTTAATCACTGTTTTTGTCTAATATACTTTCTAAGCCGTTAGTAGCTTTGTAAGATTATATGTCATAATTTCCATACCCAGACATACTTTGCTTCAAGAGCCGTGTGTAGTATAAAGCGTTGAATCTATTTTGGATTAACAGTCTCTGTNTGTCTAAAACATTTATTGCAAGCTGTGTATATTAACGTAGCGAATACATTTTTAATCACTGTTTTTGTCTAATATACTTTCTAAGCCGTTAGTAGCTTTGTAAGATTATATGTCATAATTTCCATACCCAGACATACTTTGCTTCAAGAGCCGTGTGTAGTATAAAGCGTTGAATCTATTTTGGATTAACAGTCTCTGTATAAAGACTTTTCATGAAGCTGGGGGTAATTATCTATCTTTTATCTTAAAACGCTTTTCAAGCCGTGGGTAACAATATTGTCTAAGGACTCTTCAGAATCGGTGGATATTCAGAGTCTTTGTCTAGACTCTTCAAAAAGCTGTAGGTGGTAATATTGTCTAGTCTTTGCCGAAAGACTCTTTGTTAAGTCGTTGATTGTATTCTACATTCCATTCCCACAAGTCCAAAACTGGTCGTTAGTCTTTGTGTGAACACCTTTTTAAGACTGTTACGTTTTGAATCAATACATGTACTTTAAATTCACAAAGACATTTCATCAAGCCGTGGGTAGTAGTATTGTCTAGTTTCAGTCTTTTTCTAAAGACACTTCATGAAGCTGTAGATAGTAACACTGTCTAGATTCAGTCTTTGTCTAAATACACTTCGTCAAGCCGTGGGTAGTAGTAGCAGTATTATATTAGCTAGATTCAGTATTTGTCTAAAGACTCTTCATAAAGCCATGGGTACTTACTTAAGCAGTTTTGAACCGTTTTCACTTCACAGTTTTTGTCTGTAAATGAGCCTTTTTACATTCAGTCACCTTTTATCAAGACTTTTTGTCATAAGCCGTGGGTAGTTATTTCCATCTAACAGATTCAAAACCAGTTCAGAGTTTTATCTTTAAGACTTTTTCAAGCCTTGGGTAGTTATTTGTCATAAGCCATGGGTAATTGAGGTACTCATTCTAAGGATCTCATACATAGCCTTCGTCTAAAGACATTTTCTAAGAAGTTGGTCGTTTTATCAAATTAATCCAAAACATATAGTAAGCCATTAGTATTTCTATCCAACATTCCAACAATATGACAATGTCCCCCAAATATGAAAATGGGTCTATAGGCTTCACGCAACGCATCAATGTCACCATTATTTGTCTATATCCACTCTTTGTTTAAAGACTTTTCCTAAAGCCATTGGTACTTAGGCAATGAACCGTTTTCAGTTACCAGATTCTGTCTGTAAAGGAGCCTTTTTTTATTCAGTCCCTTATTATCAAGACTTTCCAAATTGTGGTCGTTTTCATCCAACAGGTTCTAAGCCGTGGCTAGTGAGGTAATGAATCCACTATCACAATCTGTCATAAGACTTTTTTCTAAGCCGTGGGTGATGAGCGTGAGGTAATGAATACACGCAATCACAGTTGTCTTAAAGACATTTCTAAAGCCATTGATCAATTTTTTTCCTTCAAATAATATCATAACCTTTGCTACAACTTCTTTGTAAGCCATTGGTCGTTTTATCCATCCAACAAGTTCACACAGCAGCGACATTTCGTAAGCCTTTGGACGTTTTATCAACCCAAAACATATTGCAAGCCATTTGGTCATTTTTATCCATCCAACAAATCACATTCTGCCTATATAAAGACTGTCTAAAGTGTTTTTTTGTAAGTCGTGGGTCGTTTTTGTAAAGCCGTGGGTACCAAAAATATATCTTACTTCCCATCCCCAAAACATCGTCTAAAAAGACATGCATGCACCACCAACCAACAGGACCATGTTCCCAAAATAAGAATATGGGTCTATAGGCTTTCACACAAGGCAACAATGTCCCCAAATAAGAACATGGGCAGAACACTATTATATTAGTGTATGCCTATGATCTTTCTGGGTTTGATAAAAACTAAAACAAATGTAAGAATCAGTAGAGCACAACTGCACAAGAGTACTGTCTACCTAAGTTCTTGGGTCTGAAAAATGATTTCAGGCCATAGTAGCTAGAGAGATGGTTTAAACAAAACTTACTTCAGAGCTTCAGAGTTATGGACGTAATAGAAACCGTCAACAATGGCTTCCCCACGCAAATACTCTGTAAAAAAAAGAGGAAAACAAAAACAAAGACATATAAAAGTGAGAGACTTTATTACTTGATCGGTGAAAATAGTTAAAGGAACAATCTTATAACTAACCAAAAAATTAACATTTGCTTAATATTAGGATACAGGAACAAGGGTACATAAGAAATCTACTCTGTTCGCTTTATATAATGTCTTTTAACTAGGTAAGACCAAGAATCCTAACTCTAAAGAAAGATCAAGAGATCAAATCTAAGTTAAATACCGTATTTTTCAAAAGCATTGCTCATGTTCTTAGTTCAATTCTATACTCAAAGATTAAAGATACATTCTGGTATGGACAAAGCCGTACCTCAACGACGGTTCCATGCTTCCAGGTTGATTTAAAGATCAATACAAAAAAAAAAAAAAAAAAAATCAAATAACAATCCATTAAGGAAACTTGAAACCCTAAAACAAAATCCATGTTTACTAATTGATGTTTCATTAATCTAAAAATCAGCATAATAAATTATTATTTATGTTTTCAAAGAATACAAATCAAATAATTATCAATGGCAAAACTCAAACATCAGAAATATTTTAAAGAATATATTTTTATAATTATTTGGCTTGATTTATATTTAATTATAATATTTATACAAATATTTTTACTTAATGCATATTTAATTATAATGTTTATATCTTAATTGTAAATTTTATAATAGAAAAACATATTTTCAAGATAACAAACAATAAGTTATTTATTTTTAAAATATAATATGATAATTTTTTAATTATATAATATTATAGAAATTATGACATATAATTAAAATTATCTAAAATCATAGAAAACTTAATGAATCAGCAAATTCACTTCTTAAATATTTTTTCTTGAATGATGATTAATATTTAATTAATAATAGATAATTTTGCTATTTTAATTTTAAATTATATAATATAAAAATATATTTTCAAGATAAAAACATAATACATAAGAATTACTTTATTTTTATAAAATTATAATATTATTAGTGTAAATTTATTTCAATTATAAAATAACTACAATTTTTTATATCTTAATTTTAAATTTCTCATAAAAAATATATTTTCACAACTTAATACCTAAGAAGTATCTTATTTACTAAGAATCTGATACTATTAATATAAATTTGTTTTAAATATTTAATAAATTATATATAAAAATTATAGAAATTATGATAAATTATCAAAACTACCTAAAATCATGGAAAATATGACAAATCAACAAACATCAAATTCACTTCTTAAGTAATAGTATAGATTTTTTACATGTTAAGTTTAAATCTTATAACAGAAAAATATATTTTCAAGATAACAGCATAATACATAAGAATTAACTTATTTTCTAAAATATCATATTATTAATATAAATTAGTTTTAATTATATAATCAATAATAAACAAAATTAGAGAATTTCTGATAAATGATCAAAATTACCTAGGATCATGGAGACAAATCAACAAATTTACTTCTTAAATAATAGTATAGATGATTTATATTTATTTATTAATAATATAATTTGTATATCTTAATTTTAAGTTTTATAATAGGAAAATATATTTTCAACATAACAACATAATACATGAATTATCTTATTTTAGAAAATATAAAATTATTAAT